CACATTATTTGGCTCTTAAAGGGTAGAAAAGATGCAAGATTCTTTTGGCACAGTGGTACTTTTTTTTTTCCTCCAAAAAAAGGGGAGGAAAAAGGACTTTAATTGAAGCCTGCAATGTTGTATAAATGGAAGATCTAAGTTTTAATTGAAAAATAATTATAACCACTTAATCATTTTAAATGAGGGCTGTAATTGCAGTCAGTTCATAATAGCCAAATACAGACACTTAGATTCCCGCAATAAAGCAGGGATGGTACAGCTTGATTTGCTAATAGCTCTTCCACTTCTCTCCTCTTTTGTCTCAAAGATTAATTCAGGCAAGGGCTATTAGTGCCGTTAATTGGTTCTGCAATTTAGACCTTGTGCTTGTGAATGAGTGACTGATGCAGACCTATCAGCCAATAATGTGAACACTTTGTCAATGTGTTTCTCATTGTCCGGCTGCACATAACTCCCCCGGCAGTTCCTCTGCCACCCAACCCTGGCTCCCCAGAGGGATCAAGAAGAGTGGGTCTCCTCTGGGGTGAGGGATTCACTTAGCTTTAGATAGGTCACCTAGATGCCTTTGAAATTACGGCCGGCTTATGAATAAAATAATTAGGCAGTCAAGGCATCCTCCTTGGCAGGGACAAATCCCGTCTTCAGGAGAAATCTTCTCCACTGTGCTGGAAGAAGGAGGTTCAATGGGGTTGTGAAGTTGGTGAGGAGACATGTTAAATGGAGAGTGGGCATTGCTGGTGGGAAGGGGCTGCTGGCTCTGGGCAGGGTCCCGTGAGGGGTCCTCGTACTAGGGGCAGTAGTAATGACTTAAGTCAGTCTAAATCACCAAAGTCATAGAGAACACCACAAACTCTACTCTCAAGCAGGTATTATTTTTCACGGAAGAGGTCATGGCATTGGTGATGGGCAGTGGGAACAGCTGGTGGGCACAGCTGGTGGGACTTGGGCTAACAGGAGCAGCTGGTGGCATTCTGCCTGACGAGGCCCTCAGAAAAACACACAGAGAAGGCTTTGCCCTTGCCATATCTATTTTGTGGGACATAACTGCCTGACATGAGACTATGCTATTTAGGCTTTACCAGAAATAACTGTCATTTTGGGCCCAGCACGAGTGAAACTGCAGGTCTAAATTCATTGCTCTGTCTTCCTTTTCTGTTCTGTTTATTTTTAAACTGGTCTTCTCCCAGAGGTTTTTTTTCCAAGTTGTGTATAATTTATTGTTTCTTTCATTATATTAACTTATTGATATATTGCATTATACTAATGCAAAACTACAATATTTATGTACTCCACTATTTATTCATTTTTGAAGTTTATAATTTTTTCCATAGCTAATTTAAGGCCATTTCACAGAAAAAGCCAAACTCGCCACCACCACCATTTGCTGAAAATCCCACTTTGAGAGCAGCATTGGCAGATTAATTTTCTCCAGGGCTGTTTTATCAGCACAAGGAAGATTTCCTGGTTCTACTTCAGTCTGGAAGAAAGCAGAAGGAAGAAGCGGAGCCAGGCTGTTCCCTGGCCAGCATGGACGAGCAAAACCCAGCAAGTGATAGGTTGTCTCTTCCAAGGTCCGTCTAGGGGTATTATCCCCAAAAGAGGTAAGTTGGGGCTCTCTGTCTCTCCACATCTCTTAATGTGACACTTCACACAGCATAAAGGTCACTAACCCCTGTAGACAGGCAAACTCCAGGTCATCAGCCCATTATAACATCTTCCCCAACTTCAGCATCTCTTATCCTTCTTCCTAAGCTGTTTGGAAAATTCATGTGGGTTTGACACCCAGGGAGAGTATGAAAATGGGGTGTCCTGGGCTGACTGTTGCCTTACAGTCACCCCACTTCTGTCTGCAGGACCGCCAGATCTATTTGAGCTGGCGGGGAAAAAAGAAAAAAAATCAAACTGTTGCTAAGGTTTGGTGGTGCACACCAAGCACAAGAATGTTCATAGGCATGTATTTATGCTTTAATGGTATTTTGTAGCATCAGAAATACATTTACAACTATGCTTCTGTAGAGTTCAGCTCTGGTGGAGTTCTTTTTATCCCGGGAGGAGGTGCTGTGAGATCTTTGACCCTATGGAGATATTTTCAACTCCTGCTGATTTTTTCATACTGGAGGTGGAAGCTGTTCCAATGGGGTTTACACTGGCATTCTTTCCGTTTTTTAGAAATAAAAAAAAATTGGTTTTATAGCAGAAATTGAACAGACCTAGGGAAGAGGTTGGGATAAGCTTATTTTTTCTGTTTAAGATACTAAATTAAGTAACAAAAAATGAAGAAAAGCCACCTTTCACTCTCCTTTTTTTCCTTTTTTTTTTTCTTTTGGTTGTTTAAATCTGCTCACTTACAATGAACAAATCCTGCTGATTAAAAGCACCTGCATTTCATGCCAAACCTTATTCTGACACTGTTCACTGGAGGATGGACTAGTCCTTGCTCTGGGGAAAACCACTGTCTAGGAATAAGCTTTGACAGTAAACCTAAGTAGGGCAGGATGCATTTTATTTCAGTGCTGGGAAATCAAGGAGGAATTGCTCAGATGAGAGGTGCTGTGAAAGGTGGGCAGAGGAGAGGAAACAGCAAAGGCAAGAGCCCAAGATGGTGGTTGATCCTCCCAGGTGACCTGGGTGAGAGTCATGGATTGCACTTCAATGTGAGAAACAGTTGTTAAAGGTGCTGGTGAGTTTTTAACGAGGGAAATAAGTGGTACTCTCTTGTCAAGTTGGTAATTTTAGGTGGTTGAAGGAGTTCAGTCCTTGATTATTTTCACTGTGAAATGCTGTCAGTAGATAAAACTGTCCTTTTGGTTACAGTTATGAAATTTCTGTTTGTAAATGATACTACCCAGATACCAAGACTCTACTCTTCTGGCTGCTGTAAATTGGCACAGTCATTGAAATAAATGAAGTGATGGTTTGGCCAAGATCTGTTCCTTTGCATGTATATAGTGCTTCCCACCCCGGGATCGAGGTGTACCAAATGGAGATGCATTTTTCAAGCCTCCCAGGTTGAGTGGATGCAAGGCGAATTTATCCTTTTAGTTAACGTATTGAGAACAATCCCTGGTTGTCATGAGTCTTTCCTGTCACCAGGTGATCCCTGGTGTGAAAAACACAGGGAGTGTATTTGCACTCTAGTCTTAGGCTCTATATTTAGCTATGTGATACTGGGAAAGCTTTCTGTGATTAAGCTATGTTGACCGATACCAAAAGTAATTACAGCCTTGACATGCAGCAGGTGAGGTGTGTCACCAGAACTGGGTATTGTTATGTCCAAAAAAGGGTCTGGGAGAGAGAGTGAATTATGAAAGTGTACATGAATCACCAATACTGTTCTTTTGGGGAAAACAAGGAAAATGGGGTAATGTTATGTTTAAACCAGAGGACTGTTGGTGAGAGATATGGAGAGTTATCTTTTCCCTGTTTGGTGTTTACTTTCGGGCACTACTTTTCAGGAATGATGTGTAACAAACTTCAGTATTAGGCATAAAAATGTCAGAATTTATTTTTGAAACTCTGGGATAAATTATCTTGAGAGTGACATCTCCCTCATGGATGCTCTCTGATGGCAGGTCAGAGCTTTATGAGAAGGAGACTTGCTCTGCTGTGGGTATGGGAATGGACTGGATGACTTTCCAAAGTCCCTTTCAGCTTGCTCGGTTCTCTCAAAAAGATGCAGAAACAAAATAATCTGTAAGAGCCAACCACTTTGTTCACACAACAGGCTGGATCTTCCTCAGAAGCATCTTCACAGGGAAGTCTGTCTACACACAAGACCGAGCATCTGGGAGAGACCCAAAGGCCTTTGAGCAAGAGTGAATGTAGCCAAATGATAGCAGTCCACTTCTTCATGCTCCCTGATGACCTTCCACTTCCAACACCTAAACGTCACCCCACCGGGCTCCACTTCTGAAGGTCCCTTCCTGGACCCTTCACATCTTGTGTTTGAGTCTGGCAGTGCCGAAACAGGGTTCACCATCTCCTCCCTCCCATGGAGAGCAGGTCTCCAGCAGGATCCCCCTTTACTCTCCAACTGCAAACAGGTTGGCACCAGTGGAAAACTGGGCTAAAAAGGAAGTGGTGAGGGATGTAGCAGAACAAGCAAAAAGGACGTTACCCAACAAAGTGACTTTCTGCGGTAAGGTTAGGTCTCTTAGGTGCTCTTGTCTTACAGTAATACATAGCAACATGTCTGCCTTGCCCTCATTCTTTGTCCATCTAAACATGTCAAAATTCTTATTTGGATGAGGGGGATAAAGCAATAGTGAATGAGGATATACCTTCGCTTCTGTTTATTTTTTTTCCTTGGTCTGCCTGCCAGACTTGGTCCTCTCACAGCAAACTGCAGGTTCACACCATTCACTCTTCAGCAACTGCTGCCTTTCCTGTGGGCTCCCAGCCTGACTTTACCGAGCAGCAAGGTCCATCCAAACATCAGTGCACTGTCCTTTGCTATATGTTATCCTCTTTTATAAGCTACTTTTGCTTAAATTTTTTGGTTGAGCAAACATCCCTAGATAGAAGCATGCTAATAAATGCTTCTCCACTTGGCTCAAAAGCATCATCCCTGCCAGGAAAGGATTAGGCTGTCCATAATTTTTATCTGTTTCATCCAATTTCAGCATCTCTGTGCTTGGTCTCCTGGAGTACACAGTCATTTCTGCAGAAGATGTCCCCTAGCTGTTTCAGAGGGACCCGCTGGTACCTGTCTCCCTGCACCGGCTGCACCTCTGCCTGGAGGGAGAAGGTAAACAGGGAGCGAGGTGTTCACGCTGAGTGTAACAAACGGCTCTTGGTACCAAGCGAGGAAAATTATCTCACTGAAACAGATAAAGGGAAAGGCTAGGTTTGTATAACATGGACCAGACCTCTCCTGACTCCCGTCTGTGACGTAGGCTGTGCCTCCAGCTAAAAGTCCCTTCTGCCCTGGCTGCCTGCCCCAGACCCAGCTTGTGGAGGCTTGTGCGTGCCGAGGACCTGCCTACCGAGCTCTTGGTGCCATGTCTGTAACGATATGCCAGTCCATGGGCTTCGTGGTGTCCGCTTTAGGAATAGGAGGCATCATCGCGTCAACATGCATGGACCAGTGGAGCACCCAAGACCTGTACAATAACCCGGTGACGGCGGTGTTCAACTACCAGGGCCTCTGGCGCACATGTGTCCGGGAGAGCTCTGGCTTCACCGAATGCCGCGGCTACTTCACTATCCTGGGGCTGCCAGGTAGGGCTTGCTGGCTGCGAGAGCAAAGAGGTGGGAGGGCAGAGCCCCTGGCGCATGCCAGAAGCCGTGCATGAGTGGTGGTGATGGGTGATTTTCTGTGCAGAGTGGGGAACCCAAATTCTAGCCAAAAGGGACCTTGGGTGCTCACCCTGTTTGGATGACAGGTCCCTTGGAGGTATCTCAACCCAAAACCCCTCCCATGGCCAAGCTAAGGTTCAGCAAAACTCATTACAGCTGATTATGCATCAGGATCCTGTGGTGTTGCCCAGGCAATACACCTGGGGCAGTGGCCGCTCTGTGGGGTGATTAGTCCCCCGTGCCATTGGCAGCTTGGGTATACGCTCCTACCCCAGCTGCATGGCTGTGCGTGGCTTCCCACCAGAAACCACTAATATTCTTGGCATTGGAGAAGATCCTTTTCTAAGAGGATATGTCACAGTTCAGTTCACTGTATTTCTGTATGGGTTAACACCACCAGGCTGGATTTCTCCCTAATTCTCCTTTGGTTCCAGTTTTTTCTTCCACGGGTATCATTGCTGTCCTGTTTGTGCCCAGAGTATCTAGGGGTGCAAACAATTAGGTTACAACAGGATTATCTGGGTTTTCTTCTTGCCTTAATACAGTGAGAAAAAAGGCACTTAGACTATTATATCCATCTAGCCTCTGTGCTTTGACACAGCAAGAATAGAGGGAAGAAGCCAATTATATCAGCAAATCATTGCAGCACTTCTGCAAAATGGCATTTCCAAAACACACAGAAATAAGCATTGTGCACACAAAAAAACGCTTTCACAAGCAGCCTGTCTCTGTGCAAATCAAACCAGTATAACCCAATGCAGCTGTGGCCACAGACACCAGCAGGAGAGGTGTTTCATCCCCTGAGCTGTATTTCCATGTTGCTCATCCCTGGATCCTCATTCCCATCTGGCGTCTGATGTTAGTTGTGCTGCAGCATCCCTGTGCAGGTGCCAGCGATGCCTGTGAGCATCTTCCTCTTGCTGCAGCCGTGGCTTTGAATGCCCCTCTTTGTTCACACAGACTCTGGGGTGCAGACATGCATTTTCCTAGAAGGACATGGGCCTGATCCTGCCTGGGCATCCAGTTGTGCAGCCTCTAGCAAAAGCTGTGTGCTGGAGCAGGTACGAGTGAATGAAAGATGACATCCAAAGAAGGATGTTTGTGCAGGGCTTGTATTCACACACTGCTATTGAAGTCAGCAAAGCTGAGCAGTTTCACCAAAGGAAAATGTGTGCAGGACAGGTAGCAGGCTAATTGCTGATAGGTAAAGAGATTAAAGTTGCCATATGAGGAACAAATAGAGGTGTAAAAAGCAAATCTGCCCCAACCCCCCCCCCCCATATATCCATAAGACACTGCAGAACTTCTTCAGTTCTTCAGCTTTAAAAGCTTAAAATTACAGAAAATGTAACTCTACAGAAGAAGCAATTAAACTTTTCAAGTGTTCAGCTCTGGGAACTACTTTAATCTTTGAAGAAACCAGAATACTTGAGATTTGGGGTTTTTTGTTCTTTCAAAATACCTCCATCACTAATCTAAGCATTACAGCAAAAAACTAGCAAATTTTTTGCAATTCCCAAGCCTCTGGTCTGGTGTCTGTAGAGTGGGTATTAATTTCCTAAAATGGAAACACACAGCAATGTTGGGGGGGTGGCTCTCCTTCATTTAGGAGATGGGCTGTGGGAGATTGGTCTGTCCCTCCTCAGCTACATCTAGCAAGCTCTGTGGCTCCTTCCCAGTTACAGACAGAAACGAGCATCCTATCCTAAATGTCAGGGTTTCTAAGGAACTGGTCACCTGAGAGTGGGATTACCATGTGTGTTTGCTGGGTTTATTGCAGTTGCCTACAAAAAAAAAAGGATTAAAAAAAAAAGCCCAAAGAATAAAGCACAACCTTTAAAAAATAAAGGTGGGTGGGACCCTGAACCCACCAAAGTTGCCATCCTCATCCTCAGTGGTGTTGGAGAGTCAGTGCCTTCCCCCGCCAGCATGTAAGCATATGACTATGTACTTTTTGTCCTGACGAGATGCTTTTTGAGACTGGTGCCATCAGCGCTGCCCGACAAAGTGAGGTGGATTTTTTTTTTCCGTTCTTTTTAATGAACAGGGCTTGGACTTCTGAATTTACTCCCTTGCTCTCCCACCCTGTCCGCCCTCACTTTTCCCTCCTGTTATATTGTCTGCTTCCAGTCTCTGGAGAAGGTGGTGCAAAAACAAGTGCCCCACTGCTGTGCTTTATAGATTGGCTCCATCTCCTGAATTCATCTGCTCCTATGGGCATTTCTTCCTACCCACCACCAGCAAAAGGCAACTGTATCCCAGCCGGGGGGGGTGGGGTGGGGTGGGGAGTGGGGGGGGTTGAAAATGCTAAAAATCGAATTATCAATTTGCAAAGATATTATTTAAGTGGATCATGCCAGTGTTTATTTTAAGTGTGCTGCACCTTGATCTCCATTAAACCCCCCTTGCTAAACACACCGTAGTTAATGGTTTGTCAGCATTTCTATTATAAACCCCTATTTATTATTCTGACAATAGCAATTTATATTGGGAACAATAGTGCCGGAGTGAATAAAAATAATAAGACTCTAGCAAAGCAGCGAGGTGACCTGAGTACATCAATGAAGTTTTGGTTTCTGAGGATTTTTTTTTTCTCGATCCCTCGCTCCCATAGCAAAGATTAAACTTGTCTTGCCCATCATCTATCTTCAATTTAGTTGGGAATTTTAATTTCAAATAGATTGAGGAAAAATCAAGATAATAGATGAAAATAAGAAATAACACAGGTAGTTTATGGCTCTCACCCTCACTGCTCAGCTATAAACAGTCAGTCTCTGGTGAAATATGTCACTTGAGAACTAAGCCTGTTTGTTCTGATTTTGCTTTCCCTTATTATTTTTTGCTGCTTGCTTTGGTGTGTCAGCAGACCTTACTGTGATTGTCTGGAGGACACGATCTGAATTTGAACACACAAATAACAGACAAATAGCAATAGCTGGCAAGGCTGGTAGTTTCACCTAGTGCGGAAGTCACAAGGCTCTTTCTACTACAAGGAACATTTTTCAGTTGCTTACAAGTTTGCTAAACTACAATAACATGGGCAGTAATTTTCCTGTTGTCTGTCTTGGTCTTTTTTTTCCAGACCTCTTCAGCTAGACCAGTTCAGCCATTTTTGAAAGGACATTTTGTTCTCAAGTCAAAAACCTTTTTGACTGTTCCAGAAAGGCTGAGGCATCTCTCTGCTGTGGAACAAAAGGCTGGTGGCTGGAAATATAAGAATATTTTTGCTTTTCCAACATCAAACTTTGAAAGCCTGAGAGCACCCTGTTAAACTTCTCCGACTAGTAAAAGGGTATGTGTTGCTAGAGGGGTCAGAGTAAAAATAGCCCATGGGAGTGTAGTTGTGACTGGCCAGACTTCTACATAAAACAACTGCTTTCAGTATTGCTGGTGCGGGGTAGCAGAGATGTGTAGGTGTTCCCTGAGGAGAATTCATGTCTGGGAAGTCTTAATGTTGGCATCTCTGGACTTTCTTCTTTTATATCGATGTTCTGACAAGGTTTTCTTTTATTTCATACAACCAAGGCACATTTTGTGACATAACCCTTGTAAAACGCTTGCTCTAGGGATTTTGGAGACAGGGGATCCCACTGGCCAAGGAAACAAGATCTCTGCTCCATGCAACTGTTTTGTGCCCAAAGTTTGTAAGGATGGGGACTGCTAATTGCTGTGTCACAATCCTCCACTGGTGATGGCCACGGTAAAGTCTCTTCTAAGCTCTGCTTGCTACTTAAAATCCTTTAACCCAGTCAGTTCAGCTCCAAATTTTGAAATGTCTGCAGGTAACTGCTGTAACCTGCTTAAAGTCTTTTGACTGTTTCGTGCACAGAAGGCTTTAGGTGGCCCAGGTGGGCTGGAGACTTTATATAACCTACCAGGGGTACACATGAGGCAGTGGTGGGTTTGCACTCACCACAGGAGCTGAAGGAGGTGTGGGGATGGGGAAAAAGCTAATGTGAGACCCTTAGAGAGGTCTTGGGCACCCCAATCCCCTGTGACACTCAGGGCGTGGAGAGGTGGCAGAGAGCCCAGCCCAGATGTCAGGAAGCTAGATGCGTGCATCGCATCCTTGCTCCTGTCTTGTGCTTTTATGCCACAAAAAGATGAGACATGAAAAATAATTCTAAAGGATCTGGACTGAGGAGCAAGGCAGGAGAAATGGCAAAAGGCTGTGGAGATATGGAGCTGGGCTGCAGCTCATAGGCATGTAGGGAAGGATGCAGCTTCATGCACCCTGACTCTGCTGAGGGACCTGAAGACCAGTGGGGTAGAGTGGGTCTGAACTCGGATGGGGGTCTTCCATGAAGCCCTTTCCCCACTGAGTTTCAGAAAGGTCAGTCAGCCCTTCTATTGTTATGAGCTGGTGGACCACATGCTCCTGGAAGCTGTGGTCCTCTCAGCCATGGAGGGACAGAAAGAGAAGGGTGGGTTTGCTTTGTTTCGGTCTGAACAAGCTGGAATTGACTGGCAGGGTGTGAGCTATATTTGCAAATTTTAAAGTAAACATGAGCTGTAGGTGGCTTTTATGGGAGAGGCAGTGATAACATTCAGGAGTTGCAGTGGGCCCAGTGAACAGTTTTGAGATAATATAGAGTCAACGCCTGGATAGATAAAGCAAGTATGAGCTGAAATAAAGGTTGTAGAGGGGAGTGGCCACAAAGTACCCTTCCTTTTCCTAGTTTGGGTAAACTGCTGGAGATGTCCCGATAGTCGGAGTGGGAGCTCTGTTCTCTGCTCCTTGGTGAGGAAGCTTGGCCTTTGCAAGAGCTGCGTCCCCACCATGTCCCTTCCTTAGATACTGCTCAGCATCACCACGTGGCGTGGCAAGCCCTTTGGCCCAAGCATTCAACAATCTTGCTGGAGTCTGAGCAACAGGCATGTGCCTGGAGAGAGATCGCTGTCCTTCAACCACTCCTCGTTGT